TCGTAAGCACAGTATTGCCGTGCTCTGGAAACCCCACACTGCTGTAAAAAGCTCTTAAAAATAGAGAGAGAAAACTGTACCAACATGGTGGAGCTGCAAGGTGGTACCACAGTATGGGAAAGACTGAGATTTCAATGTTAAGGTTTCTTTTTGAAGCTTTCACTAATGCAGCAAGAGAGAAACTAGCACTTCTTTCAGTCGTGTTGCCAGTAACAACAACATGATGGCTTACTTGGTAGCACCTTTCAGTGAAACTCAGTTATTCTGACTTGAACCTCGCTTAAGGGCAGGTTCAACAGTCTTTACAACTAACTTTGCTCTTGCTCTGGTTTTCCTGAATCATTTGCTGTGTAGTAAGTATGACTACCTCATGCTGTGCTTTAGGGGTTTTTTTTAATCCATTTTTTTAACTTGCCTGTGTCCAAAATCACTTGGTACGATTCTCTGTTTTGGCTTATTGCTTTTTCTTCATCTCCTTGAAGATTGTACTCACCTGGAGTTTCAATTTGCTTAAACTATCCAAATGGAGTCATTAGTTTCATGTAAGCCTTTCGTGTCTTGTTTCTTCCTCACCTTACTTCAAACTTGCTTTTGTGTCTTTATTTCTTGCTTTAAAAAAGCACAACAAAACAAAAAACCAACAACAAAACAGCCAGTTGTGAGGGATTGCTGTTTTCCACAGAAGAAGCTTATCTATTGTCCAAGCACTCGCTGCCAGAGTTAATCTCTTCCCTCCTCTCCTTTCCAGTATAGCCAATGTTATTCAGCGAGCTGGCTGTCCTGTGCCAGACTACATAAAACACTTTCCCAGACTGCAGAGGTATGTTCATTTGAATACTTTACCCGTTTGCTTCCCATTTTAAAAGCCTGCACGCGCGGTGCTGGGTGTACAAGGGTCACAAAAGATCTAGTGGTTTGCAATATGGTTGCAGTTTAGCTGCAAAAGGAATTTTAGACAGGGCGGTTGTGGCAGTTTTTTACCCAGACAAAAATGGAAACAAAAAGAATTCTCGACTTACGGTTTTCCTGGAGTTAACTATTTTTCTATGAGTTCCCTGAAATCTGCTTTAGACTTCCTAGGCCCGTACTCATGCACTGGGCAAGTAAGTTCTTTACTCTTTTGAATTACCTTTAGAAAACTGCTGTAGGGGTGTATGTATCTGTATAGATAAATATTTTTTAATTAGTGCTTCTTTTCACGCTTTTTCATAACTTCTAGTAGTTTCTAAAACTAGAAATCCTTGTATATATATTAGATATATATTAAAATAAAGGTTGGAGACAACGTGGCTGAACTGATCTTGGAATAAAGAACACTGAAAATATATTCAGACCCATAAATCCCTAACAACCAGTAAAGATTTTCATTATTTGTTTTATTTACTTTGGATATTAATTTTTGCCCTTTAAAGTAATTCAATCCTTCTTCACTAAATGTCGTTCTCAGCAAACAGAAGAAGAAATTCATTAAGAAACCATTGACAAGAGAATCCATTTGTACCACCCCTCAGTGCTTCTTAAAAAAAGCCAAAAGAAAAACGTAAGTAGGTTTTTCTCAAGAGGAGGTAAGAGGTGCTGTTTATCCAGAAAAGGCCCAGCAAGCTTCCTCCAAAATAACTGATAACTTGCTTGGGTGGACCACCCAGTCATAAGGATTTTAGTAATGGTGAAGTTTTAGTGTCTATATCTGTCTATTGGAAATTGGATTAATGCCATCAGTTTGCCTCACATGGTGCCACGTATCAGGTGATAGCAAGCTGAGTTTAAACCACTGGCCTTAGAGCCAGACTTCAGACTAGCTATCATTTGACAGAACCTATCTGCTCCTCTGGCAAAGGGCTGGCTTTGTTTTTGATGCATGGAATATTAATACAAGAAGCAGATCTTAAGTTGTAATGACTAGAGCTCACAGAAGATTGGCATGTAGCAGTTTGGTATAGTAGAAGTGGTCATAAAGAACAGCATTACCCACGCTTTGGAGTGTTGCTACTGAAGGATTTACGTTCAGCTGCACTAATACGTTATAAAACAACAAATGTCTGTGTCGCTGCTCTATACTTCATATATTATGTTCAGGTGCCTTGGTCTCCAATGTGTTTCTTGTAGGAAAACCACAAAGGAAAATATTAAGGAAAAAAAGAAAGTTAAAGAAGATAAAAATGGCAGTAAATTACAGACTGTTTCAAAAAGCTGAATAGCAACAGACTACTCGTGAGCTGGGGCTGTGACACCTGTGTCCATACTGAAGAACAGAAGAACGAAGATAGTGGCAAAAGGGAAGGGAGCAAAATATTTATGTTTCCTTCTGCGTGAGGATGGATGTTTACATGCGAGAAAGTCTCTACTGAAATTGCCAGTAGAGGATTCCTGAATGCTTCTTACAGAAGCTGAAGAGTGTGCTCTTGCAGTAAATGCCTTGTGTTTCTGCACAATAGTTCAAAAATAACATGTTTGTGTCACTGTCACACAGTTTTGTATTACTCCTTGGAAATACTGTCAGTTCTGTGTTCAGATTATCCCGAATATGTTTGTCGGACTTCCAGAAGATTCAGTGGCAGAAAACACGCAAAGCTTACTTTGCAGCTGTCAAAGACTTCTCTGGACACTTTAAAAAAACAAAACAAACCCACTTGTATGTGAAAGTAAAGCCTTGCTCCTCCTACTTTTTTGCTTCTATAAAATAATTTTGAAATAACTAATGCTTTACCTGTCTGTGAACTCTAGTAATTTTGTACTGTTTCATATTTAAGCCTCAAAACAGAATAAACAAGGTCATCAAAGATTCTAATACAGAGACCCGCCTGTCTATGCAGCCTTGATGGAACAAGTCTGCAGGCATTATTCCTTGGCCTGTTAACCCAAAAAAGGCCAGGCTCCATGCATTTTCCGCCTCCTCATCTGCTAAGCGTGTTCTCCAGCCACCGTGGCTGTGTCAGAATTCCAGTAATGCAGGAATGGCTTCTCCTTTGCAACTATAATCCTGTACAGGATTGTCTTCTTGCTTTGTCATACTTAATCCAATTTGGAAATGGATCCCAGGTCTGTGTAACTCATTTACAGCAGAGCGCTGTTAATTGCTCTGCCCAAGTGACGACTGTGAAGTTTTGTGAGAAACTGATGTAAAGATGCTCTGCATCTTGTTTTGCTTATTCCTGAGCTAGACTGAAGCCGAGTTATTTTTGCTTTGTTTGCAGAATTGCATCTTATATTTGGATCATATAGGAAATAATGTCTTCATTTTGGCATCTGTGAACAAATTTGCCTGTATAATTTAATAAAAATATCCTGATAAATATATTCTGGTAAATACCAAGCTGCCTGCTGCAAGATATTGATGACATATACAACGTGGAATATGTTTGATTTGGGTGAGAAATTACCAATATTCACCTTTAGAGGCACTGCTAATATGTAGAATAGATGTGCTTATTCCAGTGGCGATAGCAGGAGAGAAAACAGCTTTTGATCATGAGCATCTTTCTCTTGTATAGTAGGGTGCATTTCTAATTCTGCTGAAACATAATGCCACAGTTCTCTTTCTGAGGGATTTAGTTTTAAACTTTCTCTCAGGCTGGGTTTGATTTTAATGTGCTTTCTAACACCGAGCAGTAGCTTATCGAGAAGTTTAAGCAGTGGCCTTGCCCAGGATTTACTGCCCTGTGAAGTGCTGCGAAGCTGTCCTACTGCCCGCCCTCTTTGCCCGAGGGTAAGGAACAACTCCAGAAATTCCACGCTCTGTCATGTATTTTAGCAAGCCTTGGCTGACCTTACGAAGGGAGAGGAGCTGCTTCTGCACAGCTGTATGACTACCTCGTAAATCGTACCGCGCCTCATCAGGAGCGCTTATTTTACAGTACTTCCGAGGTTTTTGACTGGCACGGTTACCATATAATAAAGTATTATTTCCAGTGGCCTCAGCAGGGGCACGTTCAGCAGCTCCTCAGTGGGGGAGAGCTGCGGCTGGGCGTCGGGTCAGCCCTGGGGAAAGCATCCCCGCGGCCCCTTGACGTTTGGGTGGAAGGGCGGCGCTTTTTCGCGGAAAAGAGGTTTGGGTTTAGGTGCCTGAAGCGGAGTTCGCCACACGCAGCCCCGATTTTAAAAGCGTTCTTGAAGAGAAGGCAGGGCCCCTCTCCCCCTTCAGGCCGGCGTCGCCCCGATGCGCGTCCTCGGCCGCCCC